ATTCACCAAATACGTCGGTGAAAGACCGAATATTTCTTTACATTCTTGTATATTCGGACCCTCACCGGTGTATGTCGACAATCACAGATATGCTCTGGTGAAAGTCGAAAAGAGAGGTCATAAAGTACCATAATAGTTTAAGTTGTTGCAATAAATAAGATTTGAATCACATAATTTAGTAAGATTTTTATTACTGTTATTTTATTTTCTCATTTAGAACGTACTGTATAATTAAGTAAGTTTTTAACTTCTATTATTTTCCTTTCTCATTTTGAATGTATTGTGTGTTTTAGGTTCTCATGTTCTTAAGTTCATATTTCAAGTCTCAAGTGCGTTTATTCGCGACTGAATTACGGAGAAGAAAATATAATATTGTTATATGTTCAACATTCACCATTAGTACACGGTGAATGTCGACATTGACCGGTGTAAGTCAGAAATAAGAGTATTTGGAAAATATTTCAGACATACACCAACAGAGTATGTGAATGTTGACATTCACCGGTAAAAGTCGACATTCTCCAGATTTCGGTGTTTCACCGTAACATATCTACGACCAATGGTTACGAAAATAAAGGCTGAGAAAGGACTTTTGCAGACACGGTGTATAGCGGTTAAATGAAGATATGCAGTCGCAATCCAGAAGATATACAAACTGGCATAAAATGATGTATTTAAAAGTCTGTAAAAAATTAAATGAAAACTGCAAGGAAATAAATGTACTAGAATAAAATTTTAATTGAAACAGCAAAAATAGAATGAAAAAGTGTTATTTTACTTTAAAAAAGTGGAAATCACGGAAGACTTCTAAATAGTAATATTTTAGCGTTATTAATTTATTTATTGACGAATCAAGTTAATAGACTTGTATTGTGCTTTTGACTTTTAAAATACTGGTCTTTCATAATTAAAATTTTCCGTGAATTAATGTTCAGCCCGTGAGCTAAACACCTGCTTCATTACAACTGCGGTTAAACTAAATTAAAATCATATGAAAAAAAATTACAGCAGATGTTCTTTCAGTTTAATGGTATGAAATGGGTAATAAAGCCAAAATCTTTCAGCTGCGATGTCCAGCTTTAACACATATTTTGATTTCTTACCAAAGCATACGTGTTATTTTCCTTAAATATGGAGACTAGATATGTATTTCCTAAGTCTCTCAGGAAGTAAGAAATTTTAAGATTAGATGAGAGATTTAAGATAACAGCTTCAGTATTGGGGTTTTAATAACTCTATATACAGTATGTGTTCTAATTTTTATATGGTATTGTTGGAGGGAAAAATTGATAAATTAGTACAAAGTTCAAAACTAAATTAAAAAAGGTACTGTACCTTTACTTGCAAAATTCAATGAGTTCCTGAATATACCGACAAATTTTGCATGTAAATGCATGGAACGTTTTTTTTATAATTAACTAACTTTTTAAATATTTTATTAACTAGTGTTTCAGCTGTACCGGAATTATATTAAAAAAGGTTTTCTATATTTTTAAAACCATATCATCCCCGGTGCTGGAAGTGTTTTCACGAAATTCTCTCTTTTTTTTTTTTTTGAAACTTTATAACGTTTGTGCTGCTTGGTTTAATGCATATTTAAATGTTTAAGGAAATGAAACCTATCACCACATATTTCAAAGAAACCTTAAGTTCACACTAGCTCTTAAAGGTCTTTTGAAAAAATTGATTTGATTATTACAAGAGATCCTTGCTATTTTATTTAATTTTTTACAATACAGTATAAAATATGGTAGGTGCAAAAAAGCCTAGAACTACACTAAAGAATTTAAAACATTTTCTTCATTAGGGAAATAATAAATAATAAATAAATAAAAATAGGTAAAACGCTTTTTTTTCTTGGATTCAGTTATCGTAGTAACTTAATTAAAAAAAACTGATTTCCATTGCTTTGTCAAAGCCTCAGATTAAAGCATCGAGATTTAAATGATTAAGATTGTTTATTTTTCTTTTAGGCCTTTCCCACAAAATTCCAATAGAATTTAATTTAGGATTTTGTCATATTCACATTCTACGAGATAAAGACTCTACCACAAATTTTGATCTACGCTGCATATCGAATATCTATGTACTCTTTAAGAAAGAAAGGAAAACAAAAGACACATTGAAGAAGGAGTTACCTTTGTAACGAAATTCCGCACGCAGCTACCATTCGATCCAATAAGCAAATGATAAATTTTAGAGGCCAATGTATAGGTAGAGATACAGAGCAACGTAAATGAGCATCCGGATAGTGCATATAAAAGGTAAAATCCAAATCTATGGCACAACTCTTAATCAAATGTGTTTCTATCTGCTCTTTTCGACTATACCAGTGTCTCGCAAATGGATTCACGAACAACATGAGCATATGTCGCCAAGTAAGAAAGGAAGTTCAAACAGCATGAAGAGGTAGAGTGGTCATATGGAAGAATCGTCCGACATTTGGGTCGGAATGACGCCGACATTCGCAAGACTAGCTGAACCACAACAGAGCACAGTGTTCAAGCAGCAGTCGATGTAAACAGAAGACAAAACGCGAAGACACAGCTATTGTCAAAGCGGTTCCCGCAGCACCTTATCCATCATTATCAGCAATTACAACGTGTTACCGGGACCGCAGTGGCCGCAAGACCATTGATAGGAGAACCAGAGAACTGGGTGCGTCCTCACGATACTCATTGCACTTTTTACATTACAGCTGTGCCACTGATAATGCTCGTTCAATTTGAAATTTGTTTGACTGACTGCGGTAAAATTGTCTTCGGCGATAACATATTTGTGCTACGAGCTAAGCCACGATTATGAGTTAAAACGGGGCTGGAGGCGTCATGAGCAGAGGGAATACGTACATTGATCTAAATGTCACAAGACTCACAGCACGCAAGAGGGAGTTATGATACCGAACGCCATTTCATTTGATAGTCGGCTTCCTTTAATTATCATTTGTGACAACATTACAGCACGTAGGTAGCACCAGGGTACATAGACGATATTTTGTGCCCCGTTGTGGAGAACGTTTTTTCGACGCACTCCGGGCTTGCATTTCAACAGAATAATGCATAGCCGTGTATGGCAATCATTCCAACTGATTACTTCTTGCTTGTCAAACTTTTTCTAGCTCATCTATGTCGCTAGATCAAAGCACATTTGGATACATGACGAGCAGGTGCCCCCGATCATCCTAGACTATCGCCGATCTGTCTTAACATTTCGAAAGAGTTTGGCAAGAAATCATGCAAAAGGTCACCCGCCAACTCAACTAGTCAAACCAAGTAATAGCTTTCATGAGGGGTAGAGATGGGCCAAGGTCTTATTGACTGATTCGAAATATGTAACTGCATTTTCTGAATAAAATGTTCAATACACTTCTTAATCACTTCTTTTTGCATGTATATGTAAATTTATTATTATCTTGCATTAACTAGTTATTTATAATCTCAGCCTTTAGTATAAGTTGTCCTTTCCTTTTCCTCACCAGAAATGTAAATGAGAGTATTTAAGCTGAGGGTTTTTTGATTGCAAGACAATATGCTGCCGACATTTAAATTGTTAACCCTGGTTAAATATTTTCTTCTGCTAAAAAGCAAAAGTAACGTTAAAAATTTATTTTAGGTATTTTAAACTGCAACTGACAAAAGACTTTAGAGTTACGAACAGCGATAAAAATGCAAATTAAATCTTGTTCTCCAAAATACCGCTAAGTTCATCTACTCGTACAAAAGCATGCATTACAAGTCGACTAAAAACATGTTAAATTCCCGGATATTGAGAATAATGTTCCCCCGCAACAAATGAAACTTACATTCCCAAAGATTTTTGAACCATTCTATATTCTACACGTTACACGAATTCGATATACTAATATTTAGACTTATAATTCCTTCTCGAGTACTGTATTAATTTGCGTATTACAAAGATCTAAGTGAACTAAATAGCATTACATTCTACGTAGTCGAGAAATAAAAGAAAAGCTCCCATACTGTACGTTGTGAAACAAAAAATCGAATACAGATTTTAATCTGGGAAGATGATCTATATAGTATATTACTTACCGCATGATAATCCAAACCTTTAATATTAGTGATTGTCCACAGAAGCCTAGGATTTGTTATCTACCATAATAACAGTAAACAGTTATCCAGGATTAGATTGGATTGTTTGAATATGGCAAAGCACACTATGGGCTAATGGCAAAGCATACTTAGGCTGATAGCCAGATAGAAGTGTTCCCGAAGGATTTTCTAACAGAAACTGGCTGGTATGGCGTTACGCAGGGAAAACCACGAAAACTCCAATATAGCCGGCACGTTGCCGGGATTTGACGAACTACCAGTTTAGCGGTTTCATCCGCTCGGCCACTGGTGGGCTTCTGAGATTAGAAAAAATTTTAAAATAAACTATAAGCAGATCTATAGTATATTATTAGTGGATCTATAGCATTCGTATACAAACCCAGAGATTAAAAAATTCTTGGCTAAAACAAAATCGTTATAGATTCGGCACATATTTATCTCAAATAACGATGTGATTATCAAAAGCAATCTAAAATATTTTAGGGAAGAGGTTTATAAACCACCTACGTTGTAGGTGTACTGTATATTTCGTTTAATATAACGGAATACTTTTCCTTCAAAAATCCATGCATAGTTATAATACTTAAAACAGCTTACTGTTAAATTCTGCTTGCATTTGAATCTAGATTACGTTTGGGCAAATTATTTAATTATCAGAAGTATTAAAATGGATTAGATGGGCATGTACATACATCATTATAGTCAGGGTATTTTTAATTTAATTCCTTTAACATCACTGGAAGCGTGTCACATAGCTAGCACTTGAGCTTCATTACATTTACATCATTGAAAAAGGAATCAAGAACTGAGAGTTTTCCTACTTTTTAACTTAAGATTAATTATTTTTTAAAAGGCTCCTCTGAACTTTTTGAACGAACAATCTTAAATCAAACAAAAATATACTGATTGACAGAAACATTAACTTACTTGACTCCCACACCAGAAGACATTGTTTCATTCTTAGTTTGATATAGGCAACGTATGTGGAAACCTCTGCCGAAACTTGTGACCAATTTATGATGGGGTTGAACCACAACAGTGTTAAAATATTCAACTCCTTCAGACTAAACGAAAAGACAAAAATTAATTAGAATTACAACAAACTACGTTTCACAAGGTGAAATATCAAATTAAATACTATACTACATCTAATTTAGTTTATAAGAAGCATCAACATTTCTATGTGGTCCAAATCGCATTTTCGCTCTCGATTTCATCATTGAAATCATAAAATATATTCAATCAAAACTCTGTTAAACAGGGACGTAATAACCATGCCCTGTATTATATATATATATATATATATATATATATATATATATAAAGTTTATTTATTGCAGAAACACGAAAATATGACTGTCACAAATCATCTGCGTAAAACAAAACTGTCTGCGGAAAATTAAAAAGAGGTTAAAAAAATAAAATAAAATAAATTAAAAAAAAGCTTGGAGTAACAGCAATAATGGCGGATGACGTTTGCCAAGTGAAATTTACAATAAAAAAAACAAAGCATTCTAATCGACATTTTTACGCGATTTTGAAATCGATGACTTTCTCAAGTTCATTTTTAAATATTTTTGTTAATGTCATTTCTAACTTAGTTTCTTCATTTCTAATGATTTTTACTCTTTCGTTGTTCAATGTGTTCTTTTTGTTTCGAATACTGATTTAATTGAGTAACCAAATGAGCTCCACATTAAGCTAAGCTGTTTAGAAATACAGATAAACTTTTAATACTATTTTTTGGTTAATTGAAATTTGAGTTGTTACTCTTTCCTATCCTTACCTGCCTTAAATATGGATCCCAACATCTTAAATGTGAATGATTTTAAGGGTTAGTAAATTTTTCATTAAATCTTGAAGAAATTTTGAAAAAAAAAAAAAAAAAAAGGCAGATACACAAAAAAAGTTTCAATCGAAGATATATGCAATCCGTTATATCCAATTTTCATACCCTTGAAGATTCGCTATAGCATTATAAAACAACAGTAAATGTATAGGAAATTTGGCGCGACTAAAAGGCTTGTTCTTTATTCACAGGAATTCTTTATTCGACTTTTGTAACAAATGAAATGAGAGTTTTTAATGAGCTTGATAAACACGCACACCTACTTTAATTTTGGGAAAATCAAAAGCTAAGGAATCTTTAGTGATCAAACTGAACGCAGAACAACTAAAATTCATTAACAATTCAGAAATAATTTTAAACAATAAATATGCAATTATCAAAATTAATCAATAACAAATTAACAGTTATGTAGGGTGGGGCAAAAAAAAAGTGGCCTGAAAAACAGAGTAACTCTGTTCTCCAGGCTACTTTTATTTGCCCCACCCGTTATAATCCTATTAATCCTAATTTTATTAATACTTTTCTTAGTAAACTAATAATCAGTAACAATATTTATTGATACAAAATGCCTAAATGACGCATATTAATATTATTAATAGTGCCATTATATGAAATTAAAGTATTGTTACGTTTCCTTCTTCCTTCACCAGTTGTTAGGTTACGGGGTTCGTGCAGATTTGGAGTGAATAACGACGACACATGATGATGAAGTATCAAAACACACTTTATTTACCAATATCAATCAGGACACCTCCAAAACACTTTTACAGTCGTCACAGATCTACTATAAACACACTGGAACAATCAGCGACACAGCCTTCACACTGTCAGGCAATAGTGGTGGAGACAGCTTCACTACAAAGCACCAGAGTACAGCTCCCGACTGTGCTCGGTCGTTTTCGGAACTCCACGTACTCTCGAGACTCTCCACGCTACAAATCGCGATGCACTCGACGACACACAGAGCATAGCTCCCGACTCTTCGGTTCAGTCGTTCCCGGAGCTCAACACGCTCTCTCGACGATGCACTAACTGCGATATTCGAAGACATTCTTTCGATGCACTCGACGACCCACTCAGCACTCGCTGCCCGGCTGTCAACTCGATCGACTCCGCACGGACTGACTAACTCGAGACACTGACGTTCTCGCACTGACGAGACACACACTAACTGACTGCGGACCAGCAGGGTTTATATAGCTTCCAACTTGTGTTCGAGAACATTCTGGGCTAAACCGGTAAGAATTCGTTCCAGAAGGATCTCCATCCGTCCATGGCATGTCGCCAATTTTGTCACCAAATGAGCGATTTCTCACCAAATGTGGCAACCCTAAACTTGCTTTGCGGGGAAGCTACCTTACCGCGCCTTAACATTTCGTAACAATATATATTATAACTTCCGTTTAAAATTAACAAAATTGGTTTAGTACTCTTATTAGGTGTTAAACTGTTACGTTTATGCAAAATGTATTATTTTCAATGTATGAGTCGCAATAATTATTTGTGTATTGAGTTGCTATAACTTTTATTTTTATAACTGTATATTCATTTAAGAAATAAGTTGAATTTGTAGTTATGTATTTACATCTCTTTCCGTTTAGGATGAATGTTGCTTCGTCATGTGATAAAAATATGTATGGAAGAATATTTAGGAAACTACAGCTTCTAGTTAAAGGCTATAATGGATACAGGGAATTCAGAATCTTCTGTTTCAACAATTCGGCCTCTTCGGTTATGAAAGCAGGTCTATAGTCTGGCCTGCATTAAGAGTTTTATAAATGCCATCAACGAACGTACTTTTGCATCACCATTACGATCTAGCCACCTTTATCAGTTTTGAAAATAATAATATGTTATTTATAGCAAAAAAAAAATTTCCCTTTTCAGATTAAAGTTGGAAGAAGTGGTGAAATTTGGCAAACCTTTCCAATCTTTGAAAGAGTTTAACTCGCTCGCAATGAAGAAATATTCGCCTCAGATTCGCTTTCGAAAAGCGTTCGTTTGAAGTCAGCAGTATATTAAGTTTAAATTTTTCTTATTTTCAAAGTTCCGTTTGGAGTTTGTCTCTTACTTATTATTGTTTTATATCTTCTTCGCATCTGTGACTGAGTAGTCACAGACTGAGTGGTAATTCGAGTGAGTGAGTGGTAATTCGAGCCGAGTTCAGATCTCAAGTAAGTAAGTGGTAATTCGACTAACTGAGTAAATTCCACCAATAACTGAGTAAATTAACACTCTCTTATTATTCCACCAATAACTGAGTAAATTAACACTGAGTAAATTCCACCAATAACTGAGTAAATTACCAAGTAAGTGAGTGGTAATTCGACTGACTGAGTGGTAATTCGATCCGAGTTCAGATCTCAAGGAATAGCCTAGTTTACTATGTAAGTAATCTGCAGTTTTCCCCTTTGTATGACAGAAATAGGAGGTAGGTTTCCATTAGAAAGTCCTTCATTTTCAAAATTTCAACTGTTTATTTTAAATAATACTTCTTCTCCTTCTGAGAGCATTAAACAAGATTTTTTAGGGGGGGGCTACAAAGATTGAAGATTAAACATATTATATCTGGGATTAAAGATATCCACTAGTTGTTAACTGCTCTAATAAATTCAATTGAGAACCGAAAATTTATCAACGAAATTTTCAAATTAATTCTTTTACACTTATTATCTATTTCAAATGATTCTTTACATAAGTTTTATAATATCTTATACATAAGTTTTATAATATCTTTATAATATCTTATAAGTTATCCGTCAAATAAAATAAGCCTACTGATATGACTCCTAGAAAAATAAAATTTCTTCAGTTGAAATCAGTCTTATTTGTTATTCAATAAAAAACATTAACAAGCAACAAGAAGCTGAAGACTACAGTAAACTATCGCTTTACGATGCCTGTGGATTGCTATACCTCTTGTTTGATGTGGCTATGTGTTCTGTCTTTTAAATAACTTGCTATGTATAAACGGCATTTATACTAACTTCAGCTGAGCGCAATGCCAAAAAAGCAACCTCCAGCCAACGGCATCAAATGTGCATCCCATCTCGGTCATTTTTTTAAAACTGCTCATCAAGTCAATTTCACTAATTTATTTATATAGTTAGAAGCAGCCACATGCGACCGTGAAACGACCCTTGTCGAAACTACCGTAGCGTTGACAACTACATGGGTTCAAGCAATATTATAAACATTTGCTGTCACAAAACGATTCTATTTTTTCCGACAAAGCAACTCTTTTTCTTTTCTGAAAAATCTTGATTTTGGCAAAGTCAATACTATCATCATCTGATATTTAAAAGAACTCTTCGTGACCATTATTTTAAATTAACAGTTACATTTAATGATTAAGGGTTAAAGTACAGAATTTTCAATTTTAGTAGAATTGAGTTAAATCATTTCGTAATGAACGAATAATACGTGATGTTTTCACAAAAGCACACATTACATAAGCTATCATACTACATGATGAAATAGCTTATTCCATTCATGAACATGTCCGAAATCATTAACCATAAACTATTTTCCTTGATGCCTATCCTTAAGAATAGAAAAAGAATAAATTAGAAGGAAATTTTGGTGTGAAAAAATGGGAAGTAGAATACTAATTTATCAAACGAAGTATTATCATTGGCCTATACAAAAGGCAAAAAGAAATTGAAAAGAAATGAAGAGGAGTGGTAGAGATTGGTCTTTTTTGACTCAGCCTTCTGTTTCGAAATAAAATGTTTCCCTTGCGAGTATAATAAATACAGTACTTCCGTATTTGCTTCGCAACCTCATTAATAAATACAGACTTTCCTATTTAATACGATTTATGACATTTAATCACAGACATAATAGTCAAAATTAGGATTAACATTTTATCAACACAAAATTATATAGACTAAGGATAATAACTTAGAAAGTAATGTTTTGAAAGTATGAGTTATTGACTTACGATATCATGACTCATCGTATTACATGAGCGAAGTGGTAACTTATACGTAATTTTTGAGCCAGCATGTTCATATTCAGTAAGACAGCTGGAATTCCTCGACAATCCCCTAGGATATATCATACCGTTAAAGTCCTCATCTGGTGTGGATATGGTTACTACTATATTGTTGCTGTTGCATTCTATTTCGACGTCAGATAATCGATTACCAACTAAAATGCAAAAAGAAAAAAAAAAGAATTATTTTTAACAGTTTTTACAAAAATATGTATCATATTACAACATAACACTGGCTAGAAAGAATGAAGTAACAAGTTTTATAAATTGGAGTAATAAATAATTAAGAGAAATAATAAATTATATTTTTTGGAATACCCTGCTTCCAATAGTTTTAATTATTTAAATCAATTTTTTTCACCTTCAGTGTCATAAGGTTTCCATGGATTTGTTGTAAAATAACCAACCTATGTTTCACTCCTAGTTGAAGCAAAATATATCTAGAATTCAATTATTAATGTGAAACTCTTGGAAAGTTAAATATAATTCTCAACAAGACGGCATATTGGCAGGAAAATTAGAAAGTGGAAGGTAAAGTATCCTACGACTTGTGTAAATAAGAGATTAAGATTGTTTTAACTACTTACTAGTTATTGTAACAATTTGCTAACGGAGAGATAGTGGAATATATTTGCGGTAGAAACTCGATCTACATAAGTTCAAAATACAACAAGGAGCTATTTTAACAGAAAGAAAAACTCCTTGTTATGTTTTCTTAGGTAGACAATTTTGAGAAGCTTTTGAGAATATTTTAATTAAAACCGTTCGCAGAATATGCTGTTGAAAATTTTCATTTTAAATTAAGCCTTGCCTAAGCATCGAATAACGATCTAGATCTTATTAATATAATTCTACGCGCATGAACATTTTCTAATATTTCCTATATTCCAGCGGTAATCCTGAAAAACAATCAAATTCGAACTTTGAATAGAAACATGAAAATTAGATGTTATTTATTATTCATGCTAACACGTCTACAAAAATGTATGTAATCAAAAAAAAAAAAAAAAAAACTGATGCGTGATCACCGAAAGCGAATATTTTATCTCTGTTAGTAAAAGTACTCTTTTTATTGTAATTTCCCTTTCAAATAATGTAGGTAATGCTGCATATTCTTATCCTTTCTTTTTTATCATTGAATTTTCTGAGAAATTTCTACAGCACATCAAAATGCTAATTGGAAGCGAAGGTACCCTCTGAACCCATATAGCACCAAAATAAAATCTCCAAAACTGATGGTTTCAGGACTTTATTAATCGTATTTTAATTAATTAATTTTTAATTAACTTGAGAAAATGTAACTAATATAGTAAATTCATTTCATTTCCTTCTTAAGAATCATAAATTCCGTAAACATACAAGTTGAGTTAAAAAAGGCAAAAATGTAAGGGCAGGTGAGGAGAGTGACATAAGCACATTTTGTAACAGAATGCATGTGCGATTAGGATAAGTTATTTGAGTAAGACAAAGCACAGATATGCAGATTAATATTAACTATATCTATTCCTCTGCTTGTCTCAACTAATTCTTTACATCAGAGGAAGGTTTCTTGAATTTCACTCTCATTAACAAACTTATAAATCCTGCAGCATAACATTTGTTAATTAAATGTTTTGACTCGTCCCACTTGAATTGAAAAATTGCCATTTTTCAGTGTAGTATACAAACCCTCTTTAACATCATGTGGCATATCATTGACTCATCAACTTATTGTATTTTTCGAAAGTGGAATATTTTTTATTTTCATTACTGCAACTTCTCTCATCATTTTTACCCACAATAATTTTATATGAGAGTACTATGCGACTCTCACTGACTATGTCACTTCTTTGTAAGCTTTGCTAACTCACTTCCTGAGCCTTTTTACTAACCGTGAATGTGTTTAAAAAAGCTGTACTCTGTTTATTTTGATATTTTAACGGAGTTTAAAATAATCAACAGTTTTATTTTTCATATTAATTTCATATAATTTATCGTGAAATGTCTGTTCAATTTTGTTGCGGCCATTGCTGTATTCCAAATTGTTTTATCACTAACGAGACATAGTGGAAGAGGACATTCTGCATCCCCAGTCCATGTAAAGTATACTGATAAATAATTTTCGTTGTAAAAAAGGAAAGGTTTTTTTCCTGCACCACTTTCTTTATCACTCTTTTGGAATTTTGTATGAGATTCTAAATCTTCATCCCTAGTGTCTTCATAATTAATCTGGATTGTTTTCAAGTAATGCCACATTTTAACCGTTAAACGTACAGAAGAATTAAAAAATGAGAAACGAAACCGAATCAAATACTAATAAAAACAAGAGTAGTAAAAATAATAGTAAAATAAACTAAATTATAATAAAATAAAAAACTAAATAATAGTAAAATAAAAACTAAATAATAGTAAAATAAAAGATACACTCTATCACTCTGTTTAACAAATCACATGATCCTACACTTCTTGCATCCCTAATGCATATACAGTTACACTAGATTCTAGTCGTGAAAAACTGAAAAGCTGCTTTTGGCTGTTCTGCTATGAGTGTTTAGACTCGTGTTGCTTGCATAGTCTTGCAATGCCAATGTACAGGTTAACGAAAATTGGTAACTAAGTTAATATCCTTCCATTTAAAAAAATTAGAATTTTTCCTACAGTTGAATTGGCAACGCAAGTAGGTCAACCAGCTGTGGAACGGTAAATTCGTTGAACACTGGTTGTTCGGTCTAGGATTTGAATCCGGGCGAAAGAACTGGATGTATGGGCGTTTACGTGATTTTCTGATGTGTAAGGTGTATACGAGCCATTTTCCGTTAGAACGCCTTCAACAAAGGCGTCCTTCCCTTGAGCAGACAGCCCTCGAGTGCTTTGCCATAATTAAGTAATCCGAATCCGGTAACGCAAATAACAAAGAAGTTTATACAACTGTTGATGATGAGTCTAACCGAGCATAGCCGTACAGCTAAATTCAGCTTTTCAGTTATCATAGGCTACACTCTTGTCAGTCACACCCGCTTCCCCAACGGATGTTAGCCGAATAGAATACCGAATTCCTTTTTTCCATTTATGACGTACACGTTATTTCCCTATTTCTTGTGGAACCCTTAACAATGTTTCACGAAACGCGCTAGGGTTTCCGAGACTCACATTTCATCTTCTCATCGGTACTGACGATTTGGATCAGGAAAATCCTTTACTGTTCAGCGGCACCCTGTACCACCTCAATGTGCCATTTCTGCATATTTTCCGAAACAAAATCTGTTTAGTTTGGTCCTGTGTACCTGCCTTTAAAATTTTACCAGATATTTTTAATAATCCTGCAATTAACATTAAGTATGCAAGAAAACTAATTTGGTTTTTAATGTAACATAAAAACGGATTGCATTAAATATCAAATTCTTCAGTATTTCTCATAATAAAATGATACTATTAATTTAACATATATTTTTCTAGTGGCATTCTCATGAAAATTATTTGAAGTAATAATAGTTTAGCTAAATATGGTTAAATAAGACACTATCAGAAGATATCTGTTTAGAAGATAACAGAAGACAGATAAGTTTCTGGGTTCATTCGGAATTCCGAAACCTTTCTAAATGCTCCTCTTGAATCTATCAAGTAATACCAAGAGTTCTAGAACTTTTAATATATCCTTCTTTACGTGTTAAAATTACATTTTACATTTATAGTAAATTCTCGACATAACTTCCAGTCCAAAAAACGAAGATCCTTCAGATCCGCCTATTTTTAAACTCCTATTAAGAGTGATAAGGTGATTTCTTTTCTCAGAGCCACTCGAACACGGTAAATTTCGTCTTTTTCAGTCATGTGTAACGGACTCAGCCAAAAGTATAGTACTTTTCAAACGCTTACAGTGCTTAAAAAAGAATGATTAATATTCATGCTACAAATATAAAACTTTCTGCCACTTATTCCTTAAATTTAAAAAAAAGTTTTAAACTACTTAAAAAGAAAATGGCATGGAATGCAGAAGTACTGAAATGGAGATAATCGTACTTATGTTTACATACAGTTCGATCAAAGTCGTTTTATTTTAGTGTTAGAACACTTTAGATACAATGCATTGTACTCCAGTGTTGCAATAAAATAACAGCGAGAATGCTGAAGATTCAGGGAAACCAACTACAAATTATTTAAAACTACTATGCTATGTTTTAATATTTAGAGAAAATAAATGTTTTTCTTCTCATTCTGATGTCTGATATTATTTAGTATTCTTCAACTTTCCAAACACGGAATTAATTGTAAAATTGTTTACAGGCTCAAAACTGAGCAGATACATAAATTCACATTTCACAATTTCGAGTATGTCAGCAAGCATATAAAACAAAGAAACAAAAAGACTATTGATGCAACTTTTACTGAAATAAAGAGTTTGATAAAAGATGAGATCGCATGATGTGCGTTGACTGATAACAAACAGCGTAGGTTCTGCAGTTTTCTCACGATAGTCGCGAACTCTATGTACCAACAACTAGAAAATGTTAAGATTCTTGCAAGCAGCCCACGGAAATGTCTCTTAAATGTAGGTGTAAAACAGGGAAATGAACCTTAAGCCTGAAGCAAATGTTTACTCCCACAGTTTATTCATCAAATGCAAATTCAACATACAAAGCATAACTTCAGCCTTGTTCCTCAGAGAAATCACTGGTCTTTTAAAAAAGAAAAGAAAAAAGTGCAGGCAAATTCTTCAGCAACCGTTCACAAATATCTTCGAGCATTTTATGTAACTGTAAATTATCAGATAAAATAAATATCATCAACCGTCAGGAGACGTTTTTAGGCTCGATATGCACATTTTGAAAAATTCGTTCGTACTGCATGATATAATAAGCATCAAATAAGTAAATACAAGGATATAAAACAAAACAACTACTAAGGAAGCTCCTTGACTGGATTTTAACGGAGTTTAAAATAATCAACAATTTTATTTTTCCTATTAATATAATTTATCGTGAAATGTCTGTTCAATTTTGTTGCGGCCATTGTTGTATTCCAAATTGTTTTATCACTAACGAGACATAGTGGAAGAGGACATTCTGCATCACCAGTCCATGTAAAGTATACTGATAAAATAGTGCAGTCCATGTGAAGCATACTGTTATAAAACTGGGTAACAGAACTTCAACGGAAATCTCGGTGACTCCAATAC